CCTTGAGCTGAAGAGCTGAGGGACATCGCCCAGGCCCAGAATTCAAGCCCATGACCGACAAAAAAAAAAAAAAAAAAAAAACCTACCAGCCTGAGTTCAAAATCAGCCTGAGCTATGTAGAAAGATCTTACCTTAAAACAAAAATAAAAGATGAGGGAGTCTTTACCCATTTCCTGCATAGGAAATAGGAAATGCTTCTTTTCTTACTCTATTAACTCTGTAAATCCGTGTTAAAACTTAAAAAAAAAAGTTTAATGTTTAGATCTGGGCAGCAGGGGCTCACACATATAATCCTAGCAACTCAGGAGGTTGCCAGGAAGGAAAATCAATGAAGCATTTATTTCCCATTAACAACACACACACACACACCAGAAGCTGTAGCACAAAAGCTCAAGGCTAGTACCAAAACTCTAAGTTCAAATTCCAAGACAAGAGAGAGACAGAGACAGAGAGTCAGAGGGAGAGAGACAGAGACAGAAAGACAGAGAGAGACATGGGGGGGGTTTCAATGAAGTAGAATGTAAGTCAGTGGTAAAGTACTTGCCTAGCATGTATAAAGCTTTGTGTTCAAGGGCTGAGAATGTAGCTCAGTGGTAGAGTGCTTGTCTCACATGCATGAGGCCCTCATTTCAATTCATCAGCACCACATAAACAGAATAAGCCAAAAGTGGCAGGCGCTGTGGTTCAAGTGGTAGAGAGCTGGCCTTGATCTGAAGAGCTGAGGGACAGTGCCCAGGCTGAGTTCAGGCCCCATAACCCACAAAAAAAAAAAAAAAAAAACGCTTTTGTGTTCAGTCCTCAGCACTAAAAGGAATACTGATTAAAAGCATTCTATTGCCAGGCACCAAAGTGGCTCACACCTGTAATCCTAGCTACTCAGGAGGCTGAGATATGAGGATCGCAGTTCAAAGCCAGCCCAGGCAGGAAAGTCCGTGAGACTCTTATCTCCAATTAACTACCAGAAAACAAGAAGTGGCGCTGGGGCTCAAGTGGTAGAGTCCTTGCCTTGAGCTGAAGAACTGAGGGACAGGGCCCAGGCCCAAAAGAAAGGCGGGGGAGGGAAGGGGGGGTGAAGAGGGGAGAGGAGGAGGAAGAAAAAGAAGGAAGGAAGAAAGGAAGGAAGGGAGGGAAGGAGGGAGGGAGGGAGGGAGCCAATAAAAAAAAGGACTGCCAGTTCAAAGCCAATTGGGAAGAAAGAGAGAGAGAAAAAAGATGCTGTATGTAAGATGCTTGTAGAAAAAAAATGCTCTATTGAAGATGTCAGATAAGGGCACCTCATCGTGAGAGACTCAAAGATTTCCCAGAGGAATACTTTTCACTAACCATAACAGAAAGGATGGGAGAGAGAGAGAGAACTATAAAAGGATGACATTGATCAAGATGTATTATACTCAAGCTCATGCCTGTAATCCTAGCTACTCAAGAGGCTGAGATCTGACGATCATGGTTGGAAGGCAGTCTAAGCAATGAACTGTGAAACTCTTATCTCCAATAAACTACTCAAAAAAGCCAGAAGTGGCGCTGTGGCTCAAGTGGCAAAGTGCTCAACTTAAGCAAAAGAAGCTCAGGGACAAACTGAGTTCAAGCCCTAGGACCAGCCAAAAAAAAAAGGGGGGGGGGATAAACTAACATGTTGGTTGAACTGAAACACCTTGGTAAAACTACTTTAAAAAATGATAAATTAGCACAAGGAATAAGATATACAATGATATTTTATGTTTGCTTGTTTACTTGCTTTTCTTTTTTTTGGCAGTAATGGGGTTTGAACTCAGGGCCTCAAACTTGAGCCATACCCTAGCCCTTAACATTGTGTATTTTTTTTGTTTTGTGTGTTTGTCAGTTCTAGGATTGAACTCAAAGGCCTGTGTGCTGTCCCTGAGCTTTTTTGCTCAATAAAAGCATTCTACCATTTGACCACTTCTGGCTGGTTCTGGTATTTAATTGGTGATTAAGAGTCTCACTGAACCTTGATTCTCAGATCTCATCTTCCTGAGTAGCTAGGATTACAGGTGTTATCCACCAGCGCCAAGTTTGCAATGGTTTTTGATAATGAAAAGTCCCATGTGATAGCTCTAGTTCCTATGAGAAGTGGCGATCTTCCACAAGTGCTGTGGTAGAGGAAATTAAGTTATGACAAGAAGATTTAAAGTGATTTTGAATAGGATAGGTTTGCTAAGTAGAATGAATTTAGACAGAATAAATGACATAAGCTCCACAAACAGGGAGCTTTGTCTATTTTGATTACTGATGTTTCCCAAGAACCTAGTAGTACCTAACACACAATGTGCACTTATTAAATTTAAGAATGAATGCTTTGGGGCTGGAAAGGTGGCCCAGTGGTAGAGCGCTTGCCTTGCATGCCTGAGGCCCTGGGTTCGATTCCTCAGCACCACATAAGCAAAAAGAAAAAAGCGGGAAGTGGCACTGTGGCTCAAGTGGTAGAGTGCTAGCCTTGAGCTGAAGAGCTGAGGGACAGTGCCCAGGCCCAGAGTTCAGGCCCCACTACCGGACCAAAAAAAAAAGAATGAATGCTTTTTTTTTTTGGGGGGGGGGGTCAGTTGTGACGCTTGAACTCTGGGCCTGAGAGCTATCCCTCAGCTTAACTCAAGGTGAGTGCTCTATCATTTGAGCTACAGCACCACTTCCGGTTTTCTAGTGGTTTATTGGAGATAGTTTCACACTTTCCTGCCGGGGACAGCTTTGAACCGTGATCCTCAGATCTTAGCCTCCTGAGTAGCTAGGATTACAGGCATGAGCCACCAGCGCCCAGCAAGAATGAATGCCTTTCAAGTGATGGGGAAGCTGACCACTATAATTGTAGACTAATGCCTTTCAAGTGATGGGGAAGCTGACCACTATAATTGTAGACTATTAGTTTATGGTAGCACCAACTTATATGTGATATGATGTGTGTGGCGGGGGGTGGGGGAGGTACTGGGGTTTGAAATCAAGGACTTACATTTGTAAGGTGGACACTCTACCACTGAGCCAAACCTCTACCACCACCCTCTTTTTGCACTGGTTATTTTTTTTTTTATTATTTTTTTGGGTCCAGTCGTGGGGCCTGAACTCTGGGCCTGGGCGCTGTCCCTCAGCTCTTCAGCTCAAGTCTAGCGCTCTACCACTTGAGCCACAGCGCCACTTCCGGCTTTTTTGTTTTTGCTTATGTGGTGCTGAGGAATCGAACCCAGGGCCTCAGGCATGCAAGGCAAGCGCTCTACCACTGAGCCACCTTCCCAGCCCCTGCACTGGTTATTTTTGAGATAAGGTCTCACTTTCTGCCCCAGCATGTACCTGGATCCACCCATTTACAATTCCTACTGAGTCAGGATGATGGGTACATACCACTATGATTAGCTATTGGTTGAGAAAGGGGTCTCTCAAACACTTTTGCCTGCGCTGAGCTCAAACTGACATCCTTCCTACCTCAGCCTCTCAAGTAGTGGGGATTATAGGCATGAGTCACCAGCACCCAGTTCATAGCAGTATGGCTAAGCTGCTTACTAAAGGGTAGGTAAGGGGCTGGGAAGTTGGTTCAGTGGTAGAGTACTTGCCTTGCATGCATGAGGCCCTGAGTTCGATTCCTCAGCACCACATAAGCAAAAAGAAAAAAGCCAGAAGTGGGGCTGTGGCTCAGTGGTAGAGCACTAGCCTTGAGCTGAAGAGCTGAGGGACATCGCCCAGGCCCAGAGTTCAGGCCCCACGACCAGACCCAAAAAAAAAAAAAAAAATGGGTAGGAAAGGCAGAGACAGAGTTCAAATTTTACCAGATAGAATGATAAAAGGAGAATGAGATGAATGTGTTTAGGATGTGGGCTATGTCATAAATTTGATCCTTTTAGATCCTAGCAAATGTGAGGCCCTAAGTTCAAACCTCAATACCCTCCGACACACACACACACACACACACACACACACAAAAGAAGAAAAAAAAGTTTAAGACCACACACTGGACTTTATATGAAAAAGGAAAATTTTAATATAGCCTACAAAAAGCTCATGTATTTTTTAATCCTTAAAACAACTTTATTTGGTAAGTGATAATATTTTGGTTTTGGGAGTAGAGATTGAATCCAGGACATCCCATTTGCTAAGTAAGTGCTCTATCACTTGAGCTCACCCTAGCCCTTTTTTTTTCCATTAACTTTATTGTTATTTTAAAGATGATGTACTGAGAGATTACTATTACGTAAGTCGGGTAATGAGTACCTTTCCTTTCATAGGTGTCTTCCCTTCCCTCATTCTCTCCCAGTCCCTCCCTCCTTCATTTTGTTTTTGATATGTCTCTCTACCTTTGCCCAGGCTGGCATATCTTGAACTCAAGATCAGCTTCTATCTCCAAATAGCTGGGATTGCAGGTGTACCCAATTATTTTCAACTAATTTATAGTATGTACCCAACTAATTTTATAATATACAACCACATAACTATATCATGTAACTAATTATATGTAGTAAGTTTCCACTGTTAAGTAATATGACAACTATTTTATAGGTAAGTGAAGCACTGAAAGATTAAGTAGTTGGGGTTTCATAGGTAGGAAATAGCAGAAATAAGATACAGGTAGTTCAAGGCTATGCTAGGCTATTAGGCTAAAGAATATAATGGCTAAAGAATAGTTTTGATCTCAGAAATGAAGACAATGGATTTCACCGTACAAAATCTATGTTATCAGAAAGGACAACTTTTTTGGCCCTAAATTCAAGGAATAGGCTATTAGGCCTGGGTCTGTGTGGGGGAGGGGAGTTCTTTGTTCTGTGATGACCTCAGGATAAACTGCCACTGGGTAAAGAAAATGGAATGGCTGCTGGAGGATCTGCTTGGGACTGGAGGAGATATAGGACTTCCCTGGGGCCAGCTGACATACGTTCTGGCTTGCAGACACTGTGGCAGCAACACTTGCCTTCAGAGTCCAGGGGATCTGGTGATACTATTTTTGTTCATTGTTTGGCAGGTCCGAAGATGGTGGCAGCTTGGGAGGTGGCAACAGCTTCAGCCCTGGTGCTCTGGAGATATGATTCAAGGCAAGGTGGGTGACCAGTGAGCATGAATGTATAGTTAGATAAATGTGGACACTATAGGTATGGGATCACTGGCATAGAGCTGGCCCCACATAGGTGACTAAGCTCTAGTTTTGAGGCTGTGTGTCTATATGATTTGAAACCAGGTAAGTGATCACTGTATCTAGACAGTTATGTGAAGAAATGGTTGGTCTCCAAATGAAGGCTGGGTAACCATTGGATTGAAGATCTGGCTAAATGATTGATGACAACAGGTGAATCACTGTTCAATCCAGATGTACAGCAGAAACTGAGCAATTTGTGACATGCCATTTGTCTCTGAAAACTCTTCATGCCTGATAGTAGTGTTTTCTATTCTCCAGGGCCTACCATTTTTGTACCATTTGGCTTTCCTTAATCATTTGTGGAAGCAGAAATCAGAGGAGGAAGAGGAAGAGAGGGAAGGAGAGGAAGAATCATCTTTGGATCTACTGAAACTAAGTTCTCCTTCCAAAGAAGTTCCCAATGGAAAGCAAAGCACAATCCCACCCCAGCTGTCCTGTGGTTCTGAGAACCTTCCCCAGGCCACAGAGACACCAGAGAGAATAACTACACAGTCCTCAAGCCCTTTTAGATCCTACCCTACCATCCAGATTCTGACCAACTTCCCAGTGAGGAACAAGACATCAGCAGGGAGCTACCTGCAGCAGAAAAGCCAGCTCTTCTGGGGTTTTCCCTCTCTGCATAGTGAGTCGTTGGAAACTATCTTCCTGAGCTCAGATGGTCCATCTCCCCTGAAGTTGTCTATTTGTCCTTCTGTTTTCTTCAACAAGCTTGCCTTCTTGCCTAAGTACAACTTGTCACTTCCCTATTATCACTCTCCAACCCAGTTTCCTACCCACGAAGCACATACTATGGAAGATCTGGAAGAAAAGGCCCATAATTCTCAGCTAGTTTCATCTCCATCTACCCCAACATTATTTCTCCATAATTTTAAGCCCTTACCTATGGACCCCAAGAGGGTCCCATTTGGTGCTGAGGCAGACATACACTGGCTTATACAGCAGAAAGAGGTTTCTTGGGTCTCTGAGGATCAAGCCCTGCACCTAGAGCCTAAACTCCAAAGAATCATACCCTCTACACCCTTATCTTCATTTGAGGCTTACTGGAGTATACCATGGGACCATAGCCTGCACCAAAACAATCCAGGATCACCTTCTGCTTCTCTGATGTATCCCTCTATCCCTCTGGGAACCCAGGCTAGGTTTGAGGCCTCATGGAAGACCATAGGGCAAAATGAGCACCTGAAAATTTCTGAGCCAGCAATACTAGCTCCCAGTCCAACCCCAGCTTCCTTACCAGAATTTCAGAGAGTCGATCCTAAAGAAAATATGTCTGTGTCTAAGACCATCCAGGAAACCACAGAGCAAAAAGAGAAAACTCTGATCTTTGGGACCCCAATCCTGGCTCCTTGTCAACCCATAGTAGCCATGACAGAACCTCAAGGAACTAGCCCTCCTGTTTACAAAGCTCAGCTGGGAACCATGGGATCAACTAGTGAGAGCCCCCAAGTTTCTAAGCCCCTAACGCCCATCTCTTGCCAACCCCCAGTGTATCTGTCAGAATCCCAAAAAGTTAACCCTAGAGAACTTTCTGCTTCTAAAGACTTCTGGGAAACCATAGAATACCGAGAGAGCCCTCAGGTTTCTATGTCTCCAATATCAGCCCCAACCCTTCCTCTAGCCTCTCTGTTAGAACTCCAGAAGAGTCTCCTAGAAGATCCATCTGGAGATGACCTTTGGTGGGAATGCAGAGAAAACTCAGGAACCCTCTGGACCTTTGAACCCCAAGCCTTGGATCTCAACACAAGTGTCTATGAAACTAGCCTTGCATGTGTCCCATCAGTATCTGCAACTTCACAGAAGGGAACACAGAGTAGAGAAAATGTTTGGGTCTCTATAGAACCAGTTTCATCTACCAGCCTTCCTTCAGACTCTCTGTTGAAGTTTCTAGTAGTAGGTTCCCAGGAAGACCTGTCAGAGTCCAAAGCTTTGTGGAAGACCAAGGAGCAGAGAGAGAACCTCTGGGTATATGACTTCACAGGCTCTACCCAGAGAACACCTGTAGCCCCCTTTATAGAAGCTAAATTGAAAGGTAATAAGCATTCCAGGAATTCCTGGGCTTCTGAGTCCTCATCTCAGGCACTCAGCCTACCATGTGCTCTTGCATTAGAGTCCCTCAGAGTTAGCCCCATGGTGATCCTGTTTGATTCTAATGCTAAGTATATGGATATACAAACAAGAACGAACTCCCAGGCCTCTGAGTTTCTAGCACACAGCTTACCCCAAGAGCTCTATGGAGCCAGCCACATAAGAGCTGGGTCTGACTCTGAGCCTGTTGGGAAAGATAAGGAACAGAGAGAAAACTATCATGTTCTTATGTCTCCCAACCAACCCTCAAATTCTATTTCAAAGTCCCACATAAGTGAGCCTTTTGGAGACCAGTCCAACTATAAACCTGAAGACACAGTGAAGCAGACAAAGAACTGCTGGGCCACTGACCAACAAGCCCCCAGCTCACTGTCAGCAACTCCATTAAAGCTACACACTGACCGTAAGCTTGTGCAAGAAAGAGAGGTCCCCCAAGGTCCCAGCCTCCTATTATTGAATACCTTGTGTTCAATATCCTGGCCTCCAACCCTAACCAAAGCTCTGAAGAGTGAGCCCACTGAGCTTGAAGTATGGAAAGGAAAGATATTTTCAGAAACTAAGGCAAAGGCCCTATCCTCCCAGGGAGAGGCTGTCCTAGAGGTGCTCACCCACCCTGGGATCCATGTCTGGCAATGGAGTAGAGAACTGGAGTGCAGGCTAAAGAGGCTGCACCAGAGCCCTTTCAAATCTTCTAGCCAAAATCAGCCATTTTGCAGCTTCCCTACCCTGAGCTCCACTACTCCAGATTCTTCAGAATCCTCTTTCTATCACCCACAGATCAGGCGTCTTAATATGTACTATTCAAGTTGTCATCCCCCCAAAATTCAGAGTACAGTACTTCAGCCTGTAGAAGTCCCCCATTGTCATCACTCCCACTCTTCCCAACTTCAGCTACAGGCTCCTGACCAGGGCAAAGCAAGAGTCTCAGAAAAAAGAATTAAAGGGAAGATGGTGACTCAAGTCCCAGCTCAGGGGCCAAGTGTTCACATAGAGGCTGATAAGAACAATCCAGGCCTGAGAGAGTCCTCCAATACTGGGGGTCCAGCCTCAGACAAAAGACAGAACCAAGTTTCAGCTCTATCTTTAGCCCAAAAGGCAGAGTTTCTCAGAAAACCTAAAGCAGGAGAATGTGGAGGAGGGAAGGCAAGATTGGGCTTACGTAAAGTCATAGGGAAGAGTCACTCTTCCCAAGCCTGTAGGGTAAAAGAGGCTCCTGAGAACAGATTTTCCCAAAGGTCTCAGCACAGAGATCAGGGCTCTCCTCACACTGCCCTGCCTCAGTATCTTGTCCTCAAGGATGCAAATCCCCAGAATAAGCGGAAGGTAGGTTTGGTAACTGGTGGTATCGAGAACTCTCACCACTATAAGCATTGTCCTTGGGCCCACAAAGAAAAGCATCTCCCAAGTTCCATATCCCAAGCTCCCCATACCAGGGGTTTCCAAAGTGTATTAGCCAAATTTCTGGGTATTCGTGGACCCCCGAGCCCAAATCCAGCCAGTAGAGAAAAGACCAGTAGTACTGGTACCTAGTATCACATGATTTGAGCTAAACCAGGTGAGGGCTAAGAAACGGAGAAAAATTCCTAATAAAGAAGCTGAACCAGACAAATACAACCAGACCAGTGTCGTCTTTGGAGTCTAGGTACTAGGATATCAGTTCCCTATTAGCTTCTGCTATAACGATATCTCTTGAGGATCAAAGTGAGGCTCAGTGCTGCCCTTAAGAAGCAAAAACTTCAAACTAAGTAACAGAAAAATGTCCACTCTGAACATCTAGTCTGGGTCTAGACAGCTATTCTTAGTCCTGGATATGATCCCCCTTCTTCATCCATTTGATCCACAAATCCTCCAATATCTTTCTGACCATTTCTTCTCAAGCCTATTCTTTTTTCTCTGAGTTAGCTCATCCATCTCCAGTGCTTTTTCACATGGTTACTGACAGGATTTCTTCTATAAGTATCTATTCACTCACAGCCTTTACCAATTTTCCTACCATAGTTTTAGATGCTAAACTGTTGTTTAGAAACCACTGGAGTACTATAAAATAGCATGAATTTTTTTTTGTTGTTTTTTGGGTCCGGTCGTGGGGCCTGAACTCTGGGCCTGGGCACTGTCCCTCAGCTCTTCAGCTCAAGGCTAGCACTCTACCACTTGAGCCACAGCGCAACTTTCGGCTTTTTTCTTATGTGGTGCTGAGGAATTGAACCCAGGGCCTCGAGCATGCAAGGCAAGTGCTCTACCACCGAACCACCTTCCCAGTCCCCTAAAATAGTATGAATTTGTGGAACAGTTGACACATCTATGGAAAATGACTTATGTATATGGGAGGGGGAAAGTAAAGGGTAAAATTGTCCAAACAGAGAGAAATGTACTCATTACCTGACTTATGTAATGGTAAACCCCTCTGTACAACACATTAATAGTTAACATTAAAAACAAAGTTCCCCTAGCATCTGTTAGACCACACCTTGTAACTGATTCAACAGTGTGTACAAGGATAAGCTTACAGACTGAAATGCTAAATGGACACTTCATTGTTATGCTGCTGGACTAACACTTTGTATTTAGCTGATAATTTGAAAAAGTTAATTTGTGATGCCTCTAATTTGTTGCCTCCACTTTTTTTTTTTGCCAATACTGGGGCTTTAACTCAGGGCCTCAAGCTCTCACTTCTCCATTCAAGGCTGGCACTCTACCACTTGAGCCACACCTCCACTTCTGGCTTTTTTTTTTTTTTTTGCAGATTAATTGGATAGTCTCTGCCTGGGTTGGCTCCAAACCAAGATCCTAGATCATCATAGTACTGACCCAGAAATACCCAAGTGGTTTACTCTGATATACCTATTGAGTAGATTATCTACACATGTATTTGGACCAAACTACACAAGTAGAGCTCTAGAGGTATAGCACAGTGGTGAAAGTGCTTGTCTAGGATGCACAAACCCTCAAATGTATCTTTTTGCAAGCCTAGTGGGCACCTTAATCTAGTCTTGGTCAGGGTTAAGAGGGCTCTATCTTAAAGTCTATATCAAATAAATAAAGGTGGAATGACCTATCTCTACATATACACCTACTACATGTATCAGGCTACACCCCCCCACCCCCACCCCTCCACCAGTGACATTATAAACATGGTGAGGCAATAGGAAATAATCATACTGACATTAACCAGTAGCATACGAAGGCTTAGCCTTACTTCCAAGACTTCTACTGGCAATGACAGGTAGCCCAAAGCCCTTCCCCCAAAAAGAAGCAGGAACAGTGGCCAGGACTCAGGCTCCATTTTGACCCAACGTTTATTGTCCTTTTACAACATGTCATTTTTTTTTGGTTTAGAAACTGCTTGTGATTAGTTTTCCAACAGTAACTCAAAAGCATGTAAAATAAAATCAACCTACTCTCTATATAAACACCCAGCAACTGTGGGCCCTCACCCACCTACCCAGGTTGGCTAGGAGTAAGAGAGGGCTTGGGCAGCATTGAGTGAAGTGCAGATGCTTAACTGTAGGGGTAGTGGCAGAGCCCTGGTTCACACCCCAAAGGTTGCCTGCACTGTCCCAAACTACAACAGAAATGGCATAGGCCCAAGGCCCAAATCCCTGGTAATTGGTAATTCACTCTCTGCTTCCCAAATGAAAATCACTTTTATTTTATCGCTTTTGTTTTGTTTTTGCAACAGAAACCCCCTGTCCAGAGTCTGACTATAGCTGAACTGTTCAGACTGTGGAATGAAGCAGGCCACGGGCACATCCCTGGTCCCTCCTGAGCAAGTGCCCCCACCCCCAGGGAACAAGGTCCAACTAGGCCAGCTTGCTACATGCTGGCTACCGTCACTTAGCCATACAGGTCATCGTCATTGTCTTCTGTGTATACACTGCCACCTGTGCCACCTCCACTGCCCTGACTGGGGCCAGCTCCACCTTGGTTTCCTGAAGGGAATCTGTATATATGAGAACAATCAAAAATGAAGGTTAGTCTCTATAAAATTTTCACAACTACCCCTCCTAGCCTTCTTAGGACTCACACCACCTTGTCTGTAACAACTGCCCATAGAAATTGCTCATTCATTGCCTCCAACAAAATTACCTGAAGCTGCCAAATCCTCGACTTTGCTGAAGAGTCTGAGCAAACATTTCATACTTCCGAATGTCATTGTCACTGACAGAACGGCGAGCAAAGCGCATGGCTTCCTCAAAGTGATCTCTGCGGATCTCTGGCACTGGATCATCCTCTTCTACTTCCTATAAAAATGGTGAGTACAGTCCACCAAACTAGTTAGGGTGCAATATGGACTCTTACTGGTTTACCCACTGTAGGTAGTTTCTGCCTCTCCAATCAGCCTAAGTAAAGGAAGTTGTCAGAATAAACTTTCAATCATTCAGTCACTGGTCTTTGCTTTAAAACTTGCCAGGACCTGGTGACTCATGCCTATAATCCTAGCTACTCACGAGTTCAAAGCCAGCCCAGAAAAGTCCATGAGATCTCTTCTCTAATGAAAACACACACAAAAAAAGGCTGACGTGGAGCTATGGGTCTATCCTTGTGCAAAAAACTCACAGGGACAACACCTAGGCCCTGAGTCCAAACCCTATGACCAACACACCCACACCCACACACAAATCACTTGTTCAATGTGTTCTTGCTGGGTGTCATCTGTAATCCTAGCCATTGGAAAGCTAATATAGGGAGGATCAGGGTACCAGTTCAGCCAGAGCAGAAAAGTCTGCTTCATCTCAATGGAAGAAGTTCAGCTTGGTGGCATACACCTGTCATTTTGGCTTCAGTGAAAAGCAAAAAATAAAACTGGCTAGGCACCAGTGGCTCACGCTTATAATCCTAGCTACTCAGAAAGCTGAGATCTGAGAATCAGTGTCTGAAGCCAGCCTGGGCAGTAAAGTCCCTGTGAGACTCTTATCTCCAATGAATCACTCAAAACTGGAATTGGCACTGTGGCTCAAGTGGTAGAACACAAGCCTTGAGCAAAAGAGCTCAGGGACAATGGCCAGGCCCTAAGTTCAAGCCCCACAACTGACAAAAAAAAAAAGGGGGAGAGAAAAAAAAAATTGTGCCGGGCACCAGTGGCTCACATGTAATCCTAGCTCCTCAGGAGGCTGAGAGCTGAGGATCACAGTTCATAGCCAGCCCAGGCAGGAAACTCCATTGAGACTCTTACCCCTAATAAACCACTAAAAAACCAAAAGTGGTCCTGTGGCTCAAGCAGTAGAGTGCTCAGCTTGAGCTGAAGAGTGCAGGAAAAGCACCCAGGCACAGAGTTCAAGCCCCACGGTTGAAAAAAAAAAAAGGAAAAAAAAATTGGGATCCGGGTACACATCTCAAGTGATATCTCAAAAATAACCTAAGCAAGCTGGGCATCAATGGCTTATGCCTATAAGCCTAGTTATTCTGGAGGCTGAAATCTGAAGACTGAAGTTCAAAGCCAGTCTGGACAACAAAGTCTGTGAGCCTCTCCATCTCTAATTAATCACCAAAAAGCTAGAAGTAGAGCTATGGCTCAATCTGCTAGAGTACTAGCCTTGAGCAAATAAGTTCAGGGGGGACAGCACCAGAGCAGAGTTCAAGCCAAGGACCAGCACATACATAACACACACACACATAACACACAAAGCAAAAAAGAACTGGAAGTAAGACTCAATGGTACAATACTTAAGTACTGTCAGGAAGACAAATGCAACTTGTCAATGCCTAATAGAAAAGGGAATACTATAGGTACAAGATTCAATTCACATCAGTGGTTGTCCCTAATGTGTTCCCAGGAAAGAGAGAATATTCTGACTACAGTGGTCTGAGGCAACTTTTGGAAACAATAGAATATACTCTATCTCAATTATAGAAGTAATCACAGAAATTCCATGAAAACTGAATTTTAAAAGGTGCATGGGCTGGGAAGGTGGCTCAGTGGTAGGGTGCTTGCCTCGCATGTATGAGGCCCTGGGTTCGGATTCCTCATCACTACATAAGCAGAAAAAAACAGAAGTGGCACTAGCCTTGAGCTGAAGAGCTGAGGGACAGTGCCCAGGCCCAGAGTTCAGGCCCCACAACCGACAAAAAAAAAAAAAAAAAAAGGTACATCACTGCACAATAATACCTCAATAAAGCCAAAAATTTAAAGAAATTATAAACAGCACTCAGTGTTTATCACATCTCATTTATACCCTAACCTAATAGTCGAGCTTCCAATCACATTTTTATTTAAAAAAAAAAAAAGACAGGGAGGGACTGGGAAGGTGGCTCAGTGGTAGAGCGCTTGCCTTGCATGCCTGAGGTCCTGGGTTCGGATTCCTCAGCACCACATAAGCAAAAGGAAAAAAGCCGGAAGTGGCGCTGTGGCTCAAGTGGTAGAGCACTAGCCTTGCGCTGAAGAGCTGAGGGACAGCGCCCAGCCCAGAGTTCAGGCCCCACGACCGGACCCAAAAAAAAAAAAAAAAAGACAGGGATATCACTATGTAGCCTAGGCTGGTCTAAATCATGCAATCATTATGCTTCAGCTTCCCAAGTGCTGGGATTACAGA